CCGTCCGTCTCCGCGCCCTCCGCTGACGTCAGCGAAACCATCGCGAGCGCGGACGAAGCGGAGCTCGACTGGGGCTGCAAACATGCGGGTGACCACCAGACGGTGGCAGCGAGCGTTCTGCAGTTGCTTTGCGGCCCTCTAGCGGCCGCCTGATTTTTGCCGCCCAGAGGCAGTACTGTGGTTCTAAGCGCGGTCGAGTTTCGAATTTTCGGACCTGAATTGCCATGGCAACGCACGGGCTTCCTCACCTGCTTCAAGTTTCTTTCTATATCACCCCCACCCCCACCAAGATCACTGCATAAAACAAACCACTGTTTTTTTATATTCTTCTTCCCTTCAACGACTTTACATTACTTCAATGTATAATTTCCTTGGGAGCAGCAGGGGGCAGCACCTAGCCTGCTTTGACTGAGGGTGAAAAACTAAGCCGGCTTGACCCTAGTTAGTAATTGGATGGAAGAGTAGCAGAGCCCCCAGGGCTGTTGATTACGTTGGAAAGATTTAAAAAAAACATTTTGGAAGGAAGCCAACAAAAGCTGGATGTCACGAAAATTGCATAGATGGAGTCTTTGGGTTTGCAGAGCTACACCGAAGGCTTATTTATCTTTAACCTTTGAGGCTTGAAAATAAACAGGTTGCAAACTTGAAACGTGTGGGTCATGCACTCCCAGCTGGGTGTGCAAGTTGTGACTACAGTCAGACCAAATGAAATGTATGTTGCTGTGTAAATATATAAGCTAACATTTTCAGCCTCATGCATTCCAAGTGGTAAAATGTAATAGGGAAAATACTGAGGTCAGGCAGAGCAAATTGAATTACCAAGTGGGCGAGCTTTCTTCCATGTAAGATTTCTGAAAGAGAAAATGAGAGAGAATATATTCCCCATTAAATTCCCATTCTAAACATACTTGCTCTGAGGTAATTTGTATTGATTTTTGATAATGATTTCTTTTAGAAAAGCATATTTAAAATGGGAAACTCATGTTCCTTTCCAATTAAGGATTAAATTATCATTTACATGCAAAAGTATGCAAATTTATTTTCTCTCAATAACCACAAGTTGCTCATCATGTGGGCAAGTTTTGACTCCTTCCACCCAGCATAAAACATTGCTAAGGGAGAGGGTGCTTTCAGACTAGGTTTTACTTGCAATCACCCTCTGATAAACATGGATTTTACAAGAGGTCAGGGCATATCTTCCATCTGTAATCCTCTCATTTTCTTTGTTCCTTTTCCCACCTTTTTCTTTGAAATGAAATAAATAAAATATGTCAAAGAAGAAAATAGCCGCATCTTTTTGACTGGTAGCACTAGATGTTGACAAGAAACAACAATTATGTAACTGGCATTCATTTGTACAGTGATGTTATTACACATGTGAGGCCCTTCCTTGATGCCCAGGTGCTCAGTTGATCCCAAATCTTCCAGAAAACATCACCAAATAGAAGTCATGCTGTATTGTCAGATCCTCATGGGACAAACCTAACTATCCTTACTTCAAAGGTTCTACCACAAGCGGTATGAATGCTTCTTAGTAAGTGAGGAATGCAAATTTAATAAACGTAGGTTTTTAGCTGCTTGCTAATGGTGTAGTTTATATCTTCTTTCCCATTCTGATGCTCTTCAGAAATGATGGATTATAATGCCATTAATCTACACCTAACAGGTTGAGGGCAGTATTGGCTGGCTGCTTATTTTCATTCATTCATTCATTCATTCATTCATTCATTCATTCATTCATTCATTCAATTTATGAAGCTGTAGTACGGCATACATAGAGAGTGCTAGTTGGGGAAGGCTGACATAAGGTAAAGAAGGTCATTACTGGGGAGTATAAAACTATAGGTGTGAAAATGGTACATTCTGCATTGAATGAATACATTTTTATTATCCAATATATCCAGGTAAGCAATCTTGAGAATAAAAGGACTGATCCCTAGGTTTTAGACTTCAGATTTCAATGACATAAAACACTAACAAGACTTTTTTTCTTCCTCTACAGTTCCGTGCGAAAAGTAAGAGAAGTTCCTGCCATCTTCTTCTTATAGTCTGAATCAAATTTCTCATTTTGTGCCACAGTAAAATAATTCTTCCAATCCCCTACAACTCCTAGAACAGAGACAAACACAGTCAGAGAATCAGTTACCTTTTACATGTTCTCTAATTACATTCAAGTTCTATTTTTTTTTCTATGCCACTATTTAGTAACACAATCAGGTTCTATTCTATTCTGTTGCAAATAATCATCTAGGCAAGAAAGACTGCTGTCAAATTCCAGATGGATCTTTTAATGTTAAATGTACATATTCAGTATTAATTTTAATCCAGGTTACAGTTCTCTTGCTTTACTCATTCTTTAAACATCCACTTTAGTCTT